TTTTTTTTAATTTTCATTTATTTATTTATTGTGAAACCGAGCACTGAATATTTGGACTCACGGTATGGACTTGACTTAGGCCTCTTGGTGCCCAAATCACTCCCAGCACCATGGTGTCCCCAATACATCTTTAAAAAATCCAATACTTAATTGTATGTACACGGTACGTCTTATACATTTTTCTGTTTTTTTTTCTTTTCATTGTCATCCAAAAATCATTCTCTCGCTGTTTGTTGATCCGTTTTCCCCTTTATACATGTATATTTATTAACTCTGGTGACTTGATGTCCCCTTTGTCGAGATGCCCTCTGCTTGTGCTTTATCTACCAATACAAAATAAATTACGCTTCGAATGCTATTTTATACCAACTAGTTGCCCCCCCCTCCAAATGATAATAATATTAATAATAATTATTATATAAAATAAATAAAATAAACGTTTCTTTCGGTTCGGTAATCTTCACGCCCGTCTTTGTAGGCAAACATTTATGAATCTGTTTTTACAATTCCACTTTAAATAAACCTTAAAGCTAAGTTGATAGCTCGTAGCGTGATTAGGCCCATCGCGCCTATCGGTATGCGCATGCCCATCCATTTCGGAGAAACGTTTTTTAATTGGCATGATGTTCTTAACTGCCATCTAAATGTGCTTTGGGGAACATTTGACGTTATTTTCAAGAGAAACGGAAATTATACGTCGATTTATTAGCATCCCGACTGCTAACTAATAACAGCGATTCCGATTTGCAAAACAGTGAGTTATTTGCATCGGATAAAACCGCAAAAAGGTATTTAACCTTTGACTGCATACCGATGCACATACATGCAACTCTGTATTTCATGAGATTCCAGGGCGATTTGAAGAGGAAAAATGTGAGAGATGATTTCTTTTCTAGCTGACCTAATACCGACCACCTGAACAGCGAATTGAATACCCCAGGTAAACTGCATAACGTTTTTATCTAACACTTGTGCATATGTTAATTGAAAAAAGCAGCGCTACCTTTTTATAATAAAAAACGTCTTTAAGACGACGCATATTCTAGAGGAGAAGGAAATAATTAGGGAGGCGTTGTTATTCCATTTAATTCACCTCATATCGGCGGCTTAACGACCGCTTGGGTGGAAATTACAAACAGCCTTAATGTACTTCTACATTGTACGACAGTGTTAGTGCCTGCACTTCGTGGATTTTCTTGAATAGTGATGTACATGTACGTGTGTTCATTTAACGAGTTTCATGTACAATTACGGAGATCGCAGAATAAAATGTTGTTAAGATCTTGATATTGTATCAACACGTATGCCCAAGATGATCGTTTGAATAAGGTTATATGTTTCGACGGGTGGAATCTCAAAACATTTTATAGGTCAACTCACTTAAAAAGACAGTTCCTTGAGGGTTTCCTGAGCGTGGCGTCGCAACTATGGATTAGAAAGCTGTGGGTAGTCAAGGGGCATGTTCAATCAGGTTGAAACCATCTAACTTGATACCGTCTTTTCTTTTAATCGTACCATAAAAGCGAATTTATCGATACATCACTTATGCTTGGACAAATAAAACGCCTCTTTCAAGTTTTACCGGAACTTCAAGTGGGACATGAGGGAGAGGCTTAATATATATACAGGTATCGGGGAGGGGTGCCAACGGTTTTTGAAAAATTGTCCAAATTGTGCAAGGCTATGCGGCTAATTTATCTAATTTCGATAATGCGCCTGGATTCACTTTGGATCTCATTGTTGCAGCCCGTGTGTCAACAGGAGAATAACACGTAGATGTAGGCTACATTGTACGAATAACACGTAGATGTTTGGTATTTGTGACTATCAGATTAAAAAGTTACAAGTTATTCAAAACTCAGCTGCAAGACTGGTTTGTCAAATTAAGTACAATAGTACACACCATATCACTCCCATTCTGAAAGAATTACACTGGCTGCCTGTGAAGCAGAGGATTGATTTTAAAGTACTCTGTATTATTTTTAAGGCGATCCATTCACAAGGACCATTATATTTATCTGATCTTATCTGTTTTAACTTACCACGGCGGTCCACACGTTTTAATACCGAGAATGATTTTATTTTAGAACATTCTGTTTTAGAGAAGGGGTGCCTAAAAAGTTATGGAGATCGTGCTTTTATAATCTACGCCCCAAGAGTGTGGAATGGTCTACCAAATTTTATTAGGAAAACGGAAGACTTTGACAATTTTAAATCTCTTTTAAAGACCCACTTTTTTAATTCTGTCTATATCTCTTAGATTTTATTTTAATATATATATGTTTTTTTTTTAATAAGATTGATTTTTAGTAGTGTAAATTTTAAATGGTTTCCAATGAGAGTTTATGATTAAAATATTGTAGTCATTTTAATGATTTTAGTATATTAGCCATTATTGTAAGGCGCCTTGAGATAGAATGTAAGGCGCCATATAAGAATCTTATTATTATTATTATTATTATTAGGCGACAAAAGGTAGGAAATAGTTTGTCTTCGTGTGGTGTGTAGTGATAAAGGTAATGTCACATCTAGCGTATAGCGCTAACGTATGAGAAAAATTCCCAATATGCAGACAGACGTAAGGGGTTCGCAAGACATACGCCGTAAACGCAGGCACATGTTGGTGTACTGGCACATTCGCATACCCGGAGGGAGACAGAATGATTTGAGCATGATCAAATACAATTTCATACGCTGCTTTCATCTTCATTAAAATACGCTGGGATCAGGGTGATTTCAATCGCTCAAAATTGTGCTATTACAATACTCATTAAAGAGGTGTTAAAGCTTACTTACATGTAACATGTTTTAATCAAACGTACCGGTCAATTATGAGGGATATACGGCTATCACGTGCCCCAAAAGGATATTTTAAGTTGCCGTCGAAGAAAGTTTAGAATTATGTCACTCCACACGTTTAGTTTTTTATACGATTTTATATAATTTACAATTTTGTTTTGATCGTAAACTTTGAGAAAATTAAACGTACATGAATGCTCAATTAACCTAGACAATAGTCAGGATAACATTCAATCTTTTTTGTTTTTAATCTGATACACACGAAAGATACCGCCCATAGGTTTCCGTGATTAAGTCGTAAATAGATAGGCAAGGAAGTAGAGAAGAACTCAGTAGTGAATATACATATCATGAAAATACATGTAGGTAGTACTTTCAACTTGTTCATGGAAAACAAACAGTCATCGTACGGTTTAAGAAAATAATATATGTTTCCAAGAGTGGGCTAAATCAAAACTGGTAATCGCTCACAATTACGATTACTGTACACCAATACTGGTACATGTAGTACATGTAGCTGACCAGCCCCGTGTTCTTTGAGGAATGGTTCCCTGTCCCACGCATGCGCAGTGTGATTTAGCGAAACCGTATTATCAGATTAAAGGAGCTGTAATGTGCTTGCTCTCCTAGTTCTGGAAAAATAATAGACTTTGTATTTTCCGAGGTA